CCGAACCCTCGGACGGGAGCGCCGCCGCGCTTCCCAAGCGGCGCACTATCCAGTGCGCCACCGGGCCGGCCCCTTCTTTTAGTATTTTTAATATATCACCCTGTTGTCTTTTGGCCTTTAGAGTTTCTGCTGAGAAGTCAGCTGTTAGTCTGATGGAGACTCCCTTACAGGGACTTGGTGTTTTTCTCTTGTTGTTTTTAGGATTCTCTGTCTTCGAGTTTTGCCAGTTTGACTATAATGTGTCTCAGAGAGGACCTTTTTGAGTTGAATCTGTATGCAGATCTTTGAGCCTCCTGGATCTGAAGGTCCTTGTCTCTCCCTATACGTGGGTGAAAAGGAATGTCAGGGTTAAGAAGGAACATAACAAGACAGGGTAGAGTGTAGCATGTATCCAAGAAACAGAGGACTCAGGATGGGGGACAAACTTGGGCTCTGAAACTGAGAAAAAGTTTGGAAACAAGTTATAGAGCGCCTTAAATGCCAAGCCCAAAAGTTTGGGCTTTACTGTGACAGCAGAGGGAGCTGCTGAAAATTTCTGATTGGGAAGTGGCATGACTAAGTCTGTGCCTCAAGAGTACCAGGATCCTGGCAGTAGATCTGCAATTTCCCATGAGACCAGGACAATCGCTCTTTCTCAGGGGCCTTGGTTAATCTATAAACTAGGATAACTCTATATCTAAACATAGAGCAATGTGGGGCTGGGCAGCAAGTAGAGGGAGGTTAAATTAGTCCCTCGTCTACAGATTCCAGGTCTGGGGCAGAATCCCTGGCATTTGTATTTTTAACAAGCTCCTGTGGTGACTCTGATGTGTATCCAGGTTTATGAATCACTTAACTGGTTAATAACTAAGGTTGTTTACATTTTAATGTGCTGAGACTGATTAGCGGCAGCGGGGATGTCAGTGTTTAGAAGTGAAGAGAGAAAAGTCACTTAAAGACTGTTGTGATGTTGTAGGCAAGAAGTAATGGGAATGTGGGCTTGTGCGTGGCAATACAGGACGGGGAAACAATGACTAATGGAAAATACCACTGACAGAATTGAGAGGATTTACCTAGTAATTAGAAGTGAGGGTATAATAGGAAGCAGAGGCAAGGATGACTACAAGGTTTAGAACCTTGATCAAGACAGTGACAAATTTCATACATACAAGGAAATCATTAATTTCAATTTTGGTCGTCTTGCTCTCTCTGGTTCATATAAATTCAATTTCTATGGATCTGATCACTACTAGGTGAAGCAATGACAATATTCCAAACCTTTCAAAGAACAGCTAAAACCACCTATGCACCATGTCACAGGCACTGTGCTGTACAGTTTGGTCTCATTTAATTCTAATAGGTAGCTCTCTAACCTCAATGTTCCAGGCACTGTGCTACCTGTTTCACATTCATTATCTCATTTAATTCTCAAACTGCCCTAAATGAGTGCTACTATTATCCCCGTTTACAGATGAGGAAATTAAAACTTAGAGAAACAAAGTAACTTCCCGGAGGTCATTTGGTAAAAGGGCACATATTCAAACCCAGGCAGCCTGCCTCAGAACACAAGTGCTTAGCCCCGTGCTACCCTGTTGCCCTGTTAAACAGTGGTCAGATCTGGAAACAAGAAGTGAGGCAACTAAGAACTTTCAGGCTAGTGAAAGATACAAGTTGTATTTTTAAAAAACTGCCTTGTATCCAAATAGACTTCAAATTTAAATGTTTAAAGGGGATTTTTGTTGTTCTTGCCTTGGAAAATAAATTCAAGTGATGTGATTTGATTTTGTTTTTGTTTGTTATGCTAGAAATTTCTCTCTGTACCCTTTGGGCAAATGAGGATTGCTGTATGTGCCCTGGGAAGGGCTGTCAGGAAATGACTGCACAATCATGCAAGTTCTGCAGTCTGCTTGTCACGGGATTTCCCCTGGGCCCTCTTTTAGTCACTGTTGTAATGACTAAAGCTGACAGTGAAGGGAGGGCTTTCACCCTTTACCTCAGTACAGACTCACAGTCAACATAATCCAATACAGCCAAAATCCAACTCATAGTAGTGGGAAGGCTTTCCACACTTACCAAAATTCTAAGCAGCTTTGTGAAGTCTCCTTTCTCTGACAATCTCTAAAACTATCTGGTCACATCATATCTAGGTGTCATGTGTAATAAGTATGATATAGCAATTTGTGTCTCTGTTCTCTGGTTGTGTTATTTGAATCATTCAATGTGTCCAAAACTTTCCTTAGTTTACCCCACACCTTTCTGCAAATTGCTCCACAATGAACCTCATGTTTATATTCTGTTTAGACAAAAATTTTAATCATATTTTATGTTTATTATTAATGTAACATGCTATGTAAATGTACAGAAGCCTGACAAATAACAATCTAGTTATACAGCTTAAATAATACAAGCACTCACTGCAGTCTTTATTAGTACTCAGCTTTCTTTTATTTTGGCTTTTTAAAAAATAATTTTTAAAAGTGCATAATTCTTTAAGGCTACTCAGTTTAGGAAAGATTAAAGATAACACATTTCCAGTAATGAGTTAGTCAGTTGTATATTGCTTCAGATTAGAAAATGTCAAATAAATACTAAGAAAAAAATATTTTAAATTAGCTTAATTTAGATATAGGAACATTTTAGTCAAATTTCTAATTTGAATCTTCAGTGTTTCACTTATTTTATGCGTTAATTCCATCATACCAGGTCTTCTTTCAGGAATTTCTAGACTGCCTCAGACAAGATATAAAAAGAATTCAATTCCAGTCAATAACATTATCTGTCTTCTTCTCACCAGGATGAGAAGCTTCTGCTCCCAACATGGGAGCCACGGTAGGAAAAGAACTCCCTTCAATCCACTAGGGACGAGCAAATAATACTGCTGAACTGCAAGAATAAAGACCACACAGCTGTGAACATGCACACTCTGATTCCAGCAAACAAGGACTGACTCCTTACAAAATCTAACTTTGGTTGAGAAATGCTGAGGTTGCTAAGCCACAAATGCCAAGGTTATAGACACTGACAAAAGTAGCCCCAATAAAGTGGCAGGGTTTTGGGGTGGGGCCTTTCCTTCAATAACAAATGCATTCAGAAGGTTCAGGATTCAGTTTTTCTCAAAATGTCATAACATCTTGCCAAATCTTCTCCCACTAGGCCTGCTGAGACCAGAGAAACCGATCACATTTTTCAAGCATACTTTGTATCAAGGCTCTCTGCCTTTTCTCAGCAATCCTCAGGTTATCACAGGTTCTGGTAAACTTCTCTGACAACTCAACAGCCAGACCACATTCCTGTAGCAGTGAAATTGCAAAGAAAGAAACGAGCAAATTTAGTTGTCATTGTTCATTCTTCACAGAAAACTTAAAACCTACAGAAACTTAGAGGATTTGAAAAGTCAACTAATTTTGTGCATCAAAAGACACAATCAACAGGGTGAAAATGCAACCTATAGAATCAGAAAAAAAAAATATTTGCAAATCATTCATCTGAAGGGGAGTTAACATCTGGAATATGAGAGAACTCGTACAGGAACAAAAAACAAATAACCTGATTTAAAAATGGGCAGAAGACTTGAATAGGTATTTCTCTAAAGATGATATACAAGTCAATAAGCATATTAAGAGATGCTCAACATCACTGATCAGTAGGAAAATACAAATCAAAACCACAATCTCACAGCCAATTAGGATAGCTAACTTTAAAAAAAAATTGAATATAGTTACGTGTTGGCTACGATGTCAAGAAATTGGAATCCTTGTGCATTACTGGTAGGAATGTAAAATGGTGCAGTCTCTGTGGAAAATAGTATGGTGGTACCACAAAAAAATTAAAAGTAGAACTGCCATATAATCTAGTAATTCCACTTCTGGAAATATACCCAAAAGAATTGAAAGCAGGGTATTGTAGAGATATTTGTACACCCATGTTCATAGCAGCATTATTCACAACAGCCAAGAAGTGGAAGCAACCCAAGTGTTCATTGACAACATGTGATATATGAATACAATCGAGTATCATTCAGTCTTAAAAAGGAAGGCTAAGCAAAATAAGCCAGTCACAAAAAGACAAATATTGTATGATTCTACTTAGATGAGGTATCTAGAATAGTCAAATTCATAGAAACAGAAAGTAGAATGGTGGTTGCCGGGGGCTAGGAGAAAGGGGGGAAATGAGGAGTTGCTGTTTAATGGACGTGGAGTTTCAGTTCTGCAAGGTGAAAAAGTTCTGGAAATGGGTTGCACAACAATATGAATATACTTAATACCATTGAACTAAACACTTAAAAATGATTAAGATGGCCAATTTTCTGTCATGCATATTTTACCACAATTAAAAAAAAAAACTTGATTGAGAGTATTAGGTATCTGGTACCAATAATATCCTTTAAGAATTGAGTACACATCAAATTTGAGTATTCACATTACTCCAAATAGTCTTTTGGTCATGATTGTGAATGAAATATTACTTTAGCCTTTTCCCACAATCACCATATAAATTTCAGTCTCCTCATCTGTTAGTGAGGGGTCAGGACTGGATGATCTCTACAGTCCCATCTACCTCTGAAAGTCTATTCTCCAAGCACCTCTGGCAAGGGCATGACAGACTGGTTTTACCTCTGCCTTTTCTCAGCAATCCTCAGGATATCACAGGTTCTGGTAAACTTCTCTGACAACTCAACAGCCAGACCACATTCCTGTAGCAGTGACCAAGCCCGATCGGGGCCCATGGCCTTGGCTAACAGGAGTGCCACATTCTCCACATTGATGGGGGAAGGCCCATCACTGAGGTTCCCATTTAGTGACTCCTGGGGGGCTGGCCTTGTGCTCTTGTTCTGTACAAGACGTAGGAGAAGCTTCCATTCCTCCACAGTCTCTGGGATCCAACCTACACACACACACACACAGAAACAATGTTGGCTCTAACCACTCTAAGCACACTACCTACATACAGGAGATGGTCAAAACTGTTTGTAAAAACACTCAATACCCAAACATAAAATATTCAAGAACACAATCTCATTACCCTAACACAGAATTGTTTTCTGAACATTTGTTGCATAAACAGTTCATGATAAAGAAAAGCCACAAAATTAGCCTCAAAATTCTTTCAATAACTCAGTAAGTAATTACCCAATAGAATACTCTATGCTAGGCACTGGATGTGCAATGATGAACAAAACAGATACAATCCTTGCACTCTTGTGGAGCATATAGTCTAGTAAAAGAGACAGAACTTAAACACATAAATAAATATATACTTATAAACTGTGCTAAGTACTAGGAATAAAAAGAACAAGGAACCATTAAAGAGAATGGCTGATTTTGTTTGGAGGATCTGAGAAGAGCTCTATGAGGAAGTGACATTTAAACAGCTAAAAGATGCAACAAGCTTAGAGGACATGTGCATGTGGCTCACATAATACACAAACTGAGAGTAGGGGGCATCAGGAATGCAGGGGAAAGGAGCCTGCATTTCTGACAAAGAAAACATGGAATACAACATGACATAAGAAAGAACCTGCTGAGTTCAAGGAATTTTTAAAAGTCTAGAGTGCCCAAAGGTAGCAGTGAGTAGTGAGGTTGAGATGACAGAGCCAGGCCTTGAGGACCAGCTTAAAAATCTGGATATTATTCTGAGTTAAGTGCAAGGAGTTTCAAGGAAGGAAGCTACATAATCCAATTTCCTTTTTTTTTTTTTAAAGAGAAATCATTCTGGCTGCTGTAAGGAAAATGGATTAAAAGAGGGCACAAATGGAAGCCAGATGACCAGTTATGAGGTTACTGTAGTAGTCTAGACAAGTAGCTAGGATCAGAGTGATGGTGGTGGAGCAAACAAAAGTAGAGAGATATACGTGGCAGTAAGATCAACACGCCTTGGAGAGTGATTGACATGTGTCACAAGGAGAGAGAAGTGTCAAGAAAAGATCCCTATTTAACACACCAAGAATAACTCATTATTATTAGAACTTTTGTCTGAGTGGGGAGGATTTTAGGTGATATTTATTTTCTTTATGCTTCCTGAATTTTCAATTCTTTTTCTATAACAAACATATCATGTTGTAACTTTAAAAACACAAACTATTTATATCTTAACTTTTCTGGTTATTTTTCAGAAGTATATAAATATCTATAATTCTAGTCCTACGAAACAACCTGGCCCTCTTGTTTCATTTCTAAAACAAAGATGATCTCAGTAATCATACCTATAGCTGTGACATCTGAAGCTAAATGTTGCCAGTCAACTGGCTTTTTTGTTCTGGTCTGATTTTCCCTCTCCCAGACACACAGGGCTGTAAAAAGCTGTAGTGAAGGACTCTGGGTTCTTCTGCTGCTGAGTGAAGGACCCTGATGGCATGCCGTTGGTATCTCTGCACTGAGATGGATACAACAGCAATATAAAACAGACCAAGACCACCTCTCCAAGCACAGGAATGGACTCTCAGACTTCAGGTATCAGTGTGTCAAAGTCCTGGCCCTCTGATTGTCATTTTATCAGTGTTGGATTGATAAAAATTTTATTTTATTTTATTTATTTATCTTTAAAGATGACCGGTAATGGGATCTTAACCCTTGACTTGGTGTTGTCAGCACCAAACTCTCCCAAGTGAGCTATCCGGCCATCCCTATATAGGGATCTGAACCCGTGGCCTTGGTGTTATCAGCACCACACTCTCCCAAGTGAGGCATGGGCTGGACCCTAAAAATTTTATTTTAAAAGTATCAAAATATCTCTGAAGGTTTAGGAAGTCTGATTGCTATTCCACTTTAAGTTCATCTTAATGATCTCTAACTTTTGACTGTGTAAAAGGCAACATGATGCACTAAAAAAGAACCTGAGCACAAGTTTTGGAGATAGGCCTGGGTCTGAACACCAGTTCCAGCATTTACTAGTTATCTGACTTTGGGCCAGTTAATTGTCCTTTCTGGGCCTCAGTTGAAACATCTGGAAAGTGGAAATATCAGTAACTATCCCAAGAGTTTATTTTCTCATTTAAAACAGTATATAGAAAGCACACAGTATGATGCCTAATACATACTAGGCATTCATTATATTAAAAAATTATTGTAGTTTATTCTTAATTATGATATCATAATATACCAAAGAGTACAGATCAAAAAAACTCCACAAATCTGACAACTAGCTAGAATTATACATTATCATTAAAATGTTCACCAAATTTATTGACCAGTCTGGAGTGACTTCTAAAATAATACAACCATGAGTAATTAGTTGGAATTTACATACCATTGTCCCCTTCCATCAGGCTCATATCATTCAGGTACACAATGTTGGTGAAGGCCTCTCTTCTTCTCTCCAGCTCCAAACAGAGAGTAAGATATCCAGGCCAGAAACTTTAAAGAAACCAAAATTGCAGAAAGAAGTAAAAGACAGTGAATTTATCTGGATCTGCAATACAGTAGATACTAGCCACATGTGGCTATTTAAATTTAATTAAAGGTAAACAAAATTTAAAAATCTGTTTTTCAGTTGACCTATGCATATTTCAAGTACTCAGAGGCCATGTATAGCTAGTGGCTATCATATTAGAAAGTGCAGAATAACATTTCCATTATCACAGAAAGTTCTATTAGACAATCCTGATCTTGATAAAATAAAATAAAGACAAAAGCTAGTGATAAATACTGACATTTGAGGCCAAGCACCAATTATGAGAGGTTTAAGCTTTGTGTACTTTATAAACTTTAAGATTCAATGCAAAACCAGCATATTTCTTCTCTAAATATACAAACCTTGGAAGTCCTCCTTGACTCTTCCCCCTCCTTCATTTGCTATATCCAGTATCAACAAGTCCCACTGCATTTTCCTTTGAAATGTCCCTTGGACATGCTCCTTTTGCTGCCCTACTAATCACCAATCCACTCGCACCTGAATTACTGCAACAGCTTCCTACCTAGTCTTTGTCTCCAATCCTTCTCACATATGACACCGGAAATGATCTCTAGAAAGCTCCACTTTCATTATGTAATTTTGTATCAAAAAGTCTAAAAGGGTCTCTACTGATAACTAAGTTAATTCTTCTGACCAGCTTTGAAGGTCCTGCATGATCTCATCACCCACCATTTGGCCAGTCTCATCCCTCATTATCAATGAACGAATGTGTGTCAAGTACTGACCACTGTATGGATGAGACACTATATGGGGGAAAAAAAGACACAAGTCCCTATCTCCAAAAGATTTTAATCCAGGTCACGCCATAAGACGACTTCAACAGGCAATAAATAACTAATGTGTGATGTAAATAATAAGCAGTGTCAGTTTTTCACGCCCTTGCTCTTACTGTTTCTCTCACCTGACCCACCCTCCTCCTGGCTCCTATACAAATACAAATCCTACACAGGTTTCAGGGTTTACCTTCAAAGCCTCACCTTCTCCCTGAGTCCTTCACCAGAAATTCTATTTAGCCCATTCTGATCCCTCTCTTGGATATCCCATGTCTATTACAACTGGTAACACAGACAACCTGGCACTTAACTAAATACTATCTACGTGCCTGAGAACTAGAGCTAGCAACTAAGCAGAGAGGATGGAGAGGAATTAGCAAAAGCCAGTCTTTCCCACGCAAAAAATATGCACAAAATTTAAAAGGAAAAAGATGTCTACTTTACTATCACTTAAAACAAAAAGGTACTGTGGGACTGCAAGCAATACTGACTCTATGTTAGGCCCTTACCAGTTTGTTATGTCTTTGTGGGAGCTTTGCCCATAAAGTTGTACAGTAACTAGGGAAAAGGCGGTTAGAACAGATAGGAACAACCTGCTGACTGTAAAGGAATGATTAAGTACCAGGGTGACGATAAGTCAGCCTGGCCACCTGCATCAACATTTGGAACTAGTTACTTAAGTTAAGCTTGCTTAGCAACAGCCTATACAAACCTGAGCTCAGACTTGAGATAGTGTGGAGAAGTTTGGTATATGCCTTTGGGCTGCCATCGGCCTGACACATTACTCTGTAAGTAAGTCACTCTGTAATAAAGTTCTTTGTTTTATCACATAGAATGGCCTGTTACATTGTTTGGCCTCAAGATACCTTTCTGGTTAGGTGGACAATCTGCCCTTGGTCCACCTTTAGACAGATACATTTACTTTTATGTAGCAAAGAGAATTCCCAAATGACGAAACGTATCAATTCAGGCCCTTAACTACAAGGTTATTAACTGAAATAATTCTAATCTTAACTTTAACAAATTCTGAGAAAATTCTCACCCACAAGACCTACAGATGTCCGTCATTTTCTCTTTGGTTGTAAAATCTGCAGGAAGTTTAATTAGATGAAGGATCAGCTGACTGTAACCCCAGGAAAGCAAGTGTGAATGAGCCCTGTGAAATTTTAAATAATTAATTAATTAATTAAATAGGAAATAAACTCTAGAAAGTGTTTATTAGTCATCTAGCAGGTAAGAATAGTTTAATTATATTAACATTATTATTATATTTTCAAACATTTCTGTTTGGCTTTTGAAAAATTGAAAATAGCTACTTTTCCTATAACCTATTCATTTTTTTTAAATTAGATATTTTAGGTAATCAAGAGTAAAAGAAAGAAGCCCATAATTCCATCATTCACAGATAGCCATTGTATACCGTTCCAGACCTTTTGTCTAGGCATATAAGACAGGCACTTTGGGGGCCTTTAAAAAGCTTCTCTTGGAGGAAAACACAAGGAATATTTCTAATACATTACAGGTATCAGTGTGTATTTTTTGTAAATTCTACTTTTACTAAAAAAAACCCTAAATGAGGTTGTGTCTAGAAATCCCTTGACAAATTTTTAGGAAGAAAACATACACACACATGCACTATTTTCTCCCTTTAACACAGGTTTAATCATCAAGGGCTCCTGAGATAATTAAACTTGTTTGGAGGTTCTAGCTGCACAGCTATTCATATACCCTTGACAGAGGCCCTCTTCTCTGTCGGGGAAGGTCATCCTCTTCGACAAAGCACACAGCTTCAAGAGGGATGCACATAGAGCAGTGAAGGAGGAAGGGGACACCCACCTAGCCAGCCAGATCAGCCAAATCAACCCTAGTGATCAACAGGGTGAAAGATGTCACAGCCAGATCACCCTCACATCCATCAAGGGCTCTTAATGTGGGTCCAGGAAAGAGCTGCAGGGAACGTTTAATTCTCTGAAGTCATGTGCAAAATTTTGCATGCATATGCATTTTTCTGAAAGGAATCATCAGATTCTTACAGGGTTGGTGACCCAAAAATGTTCAGAACCACTAAGAAGTACATTCAATTTCATTACTACCATGACTTGGGTCAGTCTCTTCCATAGCTATTCCTAAAGTGAGCCCAAAATGCTATAAGTGAATAATATGGTTCCATTCCAAAGGAACTTTGGAGCTTAGTCCTTAGAAAGGGGACTCCTACCTTACCTGGGGCATCCTTCATCATCCATTGTGCTTGTGCTTGGTGGAGCATCATGAGACACTGCCAAAAGCAGCCAATCCAATCTTAAAGACTCTGGCTGTAGAAAGGACTCAAGGAAGGACGACCTAAGAGAAAGTTTGGCAGAAAAGTCACCAATCTTCATGCTGAGAAAGGAAACATAAAATGTGAGAGTGTAAAGAAACAAAGTATGGGAGTATTGATTCAGGAATCAACACAACAGATGAATTAACTTGAAAACTTTCTGCTACAAAATGTCTAGAAATGCTGGTGAAAACTTAGTAGTCCTCTAAATGAATAACTGAACCCCAAGATAATAAGAAAAATGCCAAAGGACCAAAAAAAAAGAGGAGAAATAAAAACCAGTGTGGCAAGTGTGAACCAATTAGAGGAAGAAAAAAAAAAGGAGGAAGTTGCCAGTCTAATAACCAAGGTGCACAGAGCCATGGAGAGATAGAAAATGACACACCAACCTAAAAAGAGAAGAGCTAGAACTGAGATCCACACACAAAAAGCTGGGATATCATCAATAAAAAGGTAACAGTAGGGCCGGCCCGGTGGCGCACTGGAGAGTGCGCCGCTTGGGAGCGCAGCGGCACTCCCGCTGAGGGTTCGGATCCCATGTGGTGACCGGTTCCCGCTCACTGGCTGAGCGTGGCGCGGGTGCAACACTGAGGGTTGCGATCCCGTTGCCGGTCCCCGGTACAGGCGCGACACCGAG